CCCCCCCATCTATCTACAGTTAACTCCCTGCACTGCCCGCGCCCGTCACCTCACCCGTCGAGCCTCACCCTGCCGTGACTGAGGTTGTCGATGAGGTCATCCTCGAGGCCCCCGAACCGCCGCAGCAGACGGCGGAAGGCAGGCATCGATTTGGGCAGGTCGTCGAGCGGCTGCGACCGGCCGCCGACAGGCGTCTCAGTCGTGTACAGCTCCGTCATGATATTCGGCCGCAACCACACATGAGCAGCGGCGGTCTCGCCGGGCCGGAAGCCGCTCACGATCACCAGGCGATTCTGCCTGCCATCAGCAGCAGCCGTCAGATCTCCCCCGCCTATGCAAGAATCGACAGCGATGGCCGTGTCCTCGTCGATATGCTCGGTCTTGAGAGGGCCAAGGCGACGGCTACGGTCCGCGTCGCCCACCGGCACGTAGTCGACCGCTATCCTCTGGCGCGCCCCCGCTTGACGACACCACCCGAAGAGCAGGGTCTCGTGCAGGAACGCCGAGAAGGCAGGGAAGAGGTCATTGCCCTGCCGGATGGCTGGGTCAGCCTCCTTGTATCCCCCAGCGTAGCGATGGCCATGAGGCAGGTCACCGTGCGGCACCACATGGAACGACTGAGTGCCGATCCGGTAGCTGCCGTTGGCGGCCTGCAGCCCCAGTCTCGTCCCTGTGTGTGTGAGCCGATTGCCAAAGGCCGTGTAGACGGCCATGGCGCGGGGCAGCTTGCGGAAGGCCGCTGCGGTGGGGAGGGATGCAGCCGGCAGGTGTAGGGGCAGGGCTGCATTGGGTGTCAGCCGGTAGTTGGCGGCCATCCGGATGAAGCGCCCCATGACCCGCCACTCCTCGCCGCCCTGCTCCAGCACGAAGACGGCCTTCAGCGCACCCTCCAGACTATCCGTATCGGAGTCCACAACGTCGTGCAGCTGCAGCCGAGTCATGGCCTCCTCTATGCGGCCCTGCACCAGTCCCAGCACGGTGCTCCTCTCCGCCTGAGACAGTGCACCGATGCGAGCGCCGAGTGCGGCTCGTGTGTCGGCATCGTCTGACGCGGCCATGCGGGATGCCTTGCTGATGGTCATGCCGAGCAGAGAGGGGACCGCCGGATGGGCAGCCGTGGGCTCAGAGCAGGCCATTGCACTAGTGGGCTGCATGCCGTCACACTGCGCTGTCAGCGAGCAATGCGCACTACGTCAGGAGATCTGCAGGCACACACGGAGGGAGCAAAGCAGCCTGTGCGTATGCGTGGAGGGCAAGTGGAGGGGGTATTCCCATGTACTTGTGCCAGCTGCCGCCGTACCCATCGCGATGAGCGCTGTCAACACCGATTCTACGTGGGAATAGCAGTTACTGAGAGCGTCAAAAACACGCCAATACTACGTGGGAGAGCAGTTTAACGCTTCTTTCGTGCTCTAACAGATTTTGTTGCGTGTGTTGGATCACGCCCCCAGAAGCCCCCCGTCCACGAGGATGCGGAATCATCATCAATACGGCATCTCTGATTCTCTGCGTTAGGGAATCGTCCACTGACTTGGCCATCGAGGAGGGCTGAGACAGAAACCACGACTGGACGTCGGACGTCACAAGCGAAGCGTTTGCCGCCGCCTTCCACTACTCCTCATGATGCGCAGCCACCGCCAGCTGCTGACAGTGGTGTTATTCTTCATTGCTTTCTCACTCCCGCTGGCGCACGGCCAACCCGACACGTCACAAACATGGACCCTCAGGCCGCGGCTGTCCCTCGACATAATCGTGAACGGGCAGAATCTCGACGCCGCCAGCAGGATCCGCATCGTCAACAACACGTCGCCGTGTGGTAGCGCCACCGAGACAGTCACTCTCAGTGACTACGTGACTGTCGAGCCGAGGGCCGCGAACACAGCTTCGCTATCGGAGATGACCTTTACTGCCGAACTGAACAACCCGGTGATCGCCAAAGTGTGCTGGAGTGAGGGGTCGCCGAGCGGCAATGCCGACTATTCTCTGGACATTGGCGTGCTCTCTGTGGACGGGCCGACCAAGCAGGACATGTACCTGCCTTATGTGCCCGAGGGCGACGATACCGGCACTCTGACCATCACTGGCGAACGGCTGGCGGCATCCGGGAGAATGAAACTCATTGACCAGGGCGACGGCTGCGCGGGCTCATTCAGCCCCTCATCGGTCCTGTCGTACAACGATCAGGGCGAAAGGTCGGTCGACAGGACAGAGAGCAGCTTCAAGTTTGTGCGGCCACTAGAAGTTGGCACATACAAGATGTGCTACTACTACGGCAGCGACGACAGCAATCCGGATGAGTTGGGGCTCCTGCACGTCCACTATGCGACCGTGGAGAATGTGGGGCCTCTCGAGGGCATTGTTGGCGGGCAGATGGCCGTGAGTGCACTGTGTGCCGAAGACACTGTGTATTTGGTGGCATCGGCGGAGATGTATGCCGTCGATATGGACACAGTAAGACACACAGGGAAAGGAGACAGGACACCAGTCTGCATGCATTTCGTGTTGTTTTTCTTTCAGGGGTCTGCGAGCAGGATAGCAGGGGGCGGCACATCGCAGCCGCTGCCATTCAACGACTCGCTATCCAATAGTGACCTCTTCGTGCCCGGCCTCGATGCATCGCTGGTGTCTTCGTTCGGAGCGGCACTCTCTGTCGATGAGGACACGCTGTACATATCGACGGAAGGGTGCATCGTCGGTCTCAGCCTTATCAACAATATGACCGCCACACACAATGTCTCGGGCAGCTGCGGAGATTCCGGCATGCAGGACGGCGACATAGACACAGTTCGGTACCAGTCACCGGCAGGCCTCGCCATGCACCCCCTCACCAACACGCTGTACGTCGCCGACACATCCGCGCACCGCATCCGCACCCTCAACCTCAGTGGCAGTGACCACGCAGTTGCCACGCTGGTCGGCACGGGAACGTCGGGCATATCCGAGGGCGCTCTCAGCTCCGGCCCTCTGACTTTATCAAGCCCGACACACCTTGCCCTGGAAGCCAAGACGGAGATGCTCTTCTTCACACAAGGCGATCCTGTGACCGTGCTTTCCGTCGTGGTGCTGCCCCGCCCAGTGCCGTCGTACCGTGAGGGCACGGTCAGGACTGTTGTGTCTGGGTCAACGTCTCCCGCCGCACCTTGGGGCGCCATCGGGGGACTGGCTGTGTGGCGGGTCGATGAGAACAACTACCATGTGTATGTGGGGGATGAGACGAATGGCGACCTCTACCGTATCAAGTTCACTGTCGACTGGGCAGACTGGGCTGACAGCCCTAGCGACATCGTTACGGTGGGTGGGTGATTGGGCATTCACGAATCATAGAGACACATGACGTTGTGTCTCTTAGATTGAGACCATACTGGACAGTACCAGTGGGCAGACCACCACATGGGGATCGCTGCAGCTGCCCACCAAGAGCATCCGAGGGGTACAAAAGTATAAATGGATTGATGGAGGCACAATCCCCCGTCTTGCCAGCATGTGCGTGCGTGTGTGTATGTATCCATATAGGTGTCCATGTCTGATGGTGGCAACAAGCTGTTCTTTGTCGACCATCACTCGGACGGGCCTCACACATACATCCGCACGTATGCACGCCACCAAGGGCTCCCACGCATGGCAAAACACCCTCTCCACTTCCACGTTTCTTTGTCCTGTCAAGGGTGACCCTCCGCAAGCAAGGTGCTGAGCTGCAGGTGCTCCAGAAGCAGTCACTGGTCAGTCCGGGCAGCGTGACTGTCCATGGCTACCACATGTCCACGGATGACGAGTACTACATCGTATTCGGGCGAAAGGCGCGCTGCGGCATGGGCAGCATGACATCGTCACAAGGCACGTCGCCATCCGGCCCAATGAAAACACAATCCACTTTCTGGGGCATCACTGTGGCGGGCGGGGGCGCCTACCTCCTCTGCTGGTGCACTAAAGCCATCAGCAGCAGCAGCTGCTCGTCGATCGAGGACTATTACGTTGGAGGCATCTTCTACGGTGCAGGGCCGATTCTGTCACAGCGAGTGTATTTCGACCTGAATGTGGCGGACCAGCTGGTGCTGCGGGGCACAGAGATGGACCAGTACATGCGTGTGCTGCTGATTGAAGCGGCCGACACGTGCGACCCCACGATGCAGCACTCCGATTACGTGACTATCATCCCTGCAGCCCCCACATACAACTTCACCACGCTCGTTTTCGAGCCTGTTATGGTCGGTGGGGTGGGTCAAAGAGGAAATCATCAATGTCTCACGGGCATGATTCCCTCTCTCACTCTTTTGCACACAGATAAGCCATGTTCCTGGTGAGTATCGCATCTGCTTCTTGATGGACTCACTGACTGTGGAGGTGGGCCGGATCGGCGTGGCCGGTCCGATTACGATGCAGCGCTATCCGTCACTGAACCGCATTTATGGCCAGTACGACATCCATCTGCTGGGCGTCAACCTCACCGCGTCGCAGCAGTACTTCCTCACACCCAGCACGATGGCCTGTTCGGGCGGGCTGGTTCAAGTGGCTGGTGCTGACTCGGACGCTTACACCCTCGACCCGACTTCTCCCTCCCTTGTGGGCAGCGTGAGTCTGCTCGGGGATGGCAGCTATGTCTCTGACAGCAGGACCGACCTCATCACCCTGTGCACCATCACCAATCAGGTGTCACCTCCCGCCCTGCCGCCCTCTCTCGCCGCTGACAAAGCGGCGATCAGCGGGTGTGCGGCAAAGGAAGGCGCCGTGAGTGATTGGAGTGCCATCGAGGCCGACGTAACCAACGCGGAGACGAACAAGGTGGCGGTGCTGTCGACTGGCTACATCCGGGAGGCCGGCCTGCACACCATCTGCTTTCTGCCATCTGCGGACTCCAGTCTGTCAGAGGCCACCACTGTGGGCACAGTGAACGTGCAGGGCCCCATCATCCCCCAGCAGTTTGCTGGAATCATATTCGCACCCTTCTCTGTCGAGATGAGGGGCTACCACTTGTCGAGCGCGTCAGCGATCTTCCTTCTCGGCACCACATCGTCCCCCCGCGAGACGGGCGACAACACCACCAGCAGCGTGATGGAATTCTCATTCGAGTGCAGCAAGAGCTTTGACTGGCGTGTGCGCCTGGACACACCCAACGTGACGCTCAATGCCACTGCCAGCCGTCACGAGAACAGCACCTGCGTGGTGGGGCAGGAGTGCGAGGAAGAGTCGCTGGTTTTGGAGGTGGCTCAAATAACCATCCCCGGCGTTTATGGCGTGTGTTGGTGTGCTGAAGACTGCGAACCAGACAGCTGGAATGGAGACAGAAATGAGACACCAAGCCCCGCCCCTGCTCCGTTTCTTGAGCACGAGCAGGAGTTCAGAAGACTACACAGTCAAGACGGACGGCGGCTGAGCAGCGTTCTTTCTGTCGTGACGGGTTATCAGCAGCTGGTGCCTGTGGGTCACGTGACGATCCCAGGTCCTTTCAGCGAACAGCAGTTTGAGGTCTTCGCACAGCTTAGGAACTACATCGAGATCAGGGGTGTCGGATTCCAGTTCTTCAACACTTGGAAGCTCGTTGTGCCGCCCTATGATCTTTATCCGCTTGTCGAGGTGACTCCTCCCCAAGTGCCGGTGATTCCCTGGACGATGCTGCCGTTTGCCGGCGACGACGTCTGCGAGACGGGCACGACGGCCGACACGAACGACATCTACCTTGATGAATCGATCGAGATAAACGGTGAGACACCACTCGTCGGCCTCAATGTGTCTCGTATGTATACATAAACGATCAGACGAGGGCCAGACTGCTCGAACGCTGGTGTATCCTGGAGGCGGTATCGGTGGCGGCGCCGCCTACTACCTTTGCTGGAGATACAGTGACTCGCCAGTGGTATGAGTGAGCAACGAGAGAAGCAGGTCCATCGAGCAGTGTCTGTCCTGTGTGTTGGATTCGTGAATCCAGCTGGGCGAGAAGGGTCCAGTCGACCCCAAGTGGCTCAACGTCGGTATTGTCCACGTGTTCGGCGCATTCGCCAATCAGCCGTCTGAGTTCTCTGTTCTGGCGTTCGTCCCTGGGTCCATCTCAATCGTCGGTCACGGGTATGTTTGCGTGTGGGACGGATCACTGTGAAACAAGCACCTTGCTTCATTGGCACAGGCTGAATCCGGCAAAGAACCGCATCCGTCTGGTGGATGTCGTTAGCGACTGCGGGCGAGGAGAGTTCCCCAGCAAGGCGACCGTCCCAGCGCAGCCAACCCAGGCTAATCTCACGCTGTCCTCCCCCCAGGTCCTGACCTTTGACGGCATCATGGCGTTCCGCCCGGCCAGGTACTTCGTTTGTCTGGCGCCCGAAGCCGAGGACAGAGACTACGAAAAGACCGAATACGACCCCTTCCAAGGTGAGACACTAAATGAGAGCATAGCGGTGCTTTTTTCATGTGTTTTGCTTTATGTGCAGCTCAGATAGGTGTCATGCAAGTCCTAGGCGACCCGTCTTGCGGCGACCGTCGGCTGCTGTCCGTGAGGAGGGACCTGGTGGAGCGCTTCAACCTGCCTCCCACATACATAGAAGAGGTCAGCTGACAGCTCCTGCTCTTTGTGCTCATCCGGTCACGGAGGCCCTGTCATGCGTACGTGTGTGTGCTGTAGTGCGACGATGGCAATACACAGGTGCACTGCATGGCATAATACGGCTAAGCATCCATCAGCCATGTCTTTGTGCTCTAAATGATGCAGGGAGGAGACGGGTAATGCTACGACGTCGACAACACACAAAGGAATGGGCGCGTCTCTCTGCCTGTTCGTCAGGTGTGCAGGCGACTGCACTCTTGAGAGAGGTAACTAAAGGGAGCCTGGTGACATACGGGGACAAATGTGATTACCTCTATTTGTTCCAGGTTGGGGTTTCAGCATCCAGCGGGGTGTGTTTCCGATATGTGGGGACTCGTTTATGGTCGAGGGCGAACAGTGCGATGGTACCTACAAACAGGACACATACGTGTGTCTGCCTCTGTATCTGTGTCTCTACCTGTTTGTCTCTTTGATGCATCCTCCTGCGCTGCTTCAGATGGTAACGCCGAATCGGGTGACGGTATGTGCAGACGGCTACACACAGGGAAAGGGACACCATGATATGTGTTACTTCCATTCTCTCTGTGGCAGGTTGCAGTAGCAAGTGTCAGGTCGAGGAGGGCTGGCGGTGTGTCGGCCTGCCGTCCGAATGCGCCCCGTAAGTAAGAAAGATATGTATGAGTTAGAGACGGTCGTGGACGTGTTTCATGCTGCTAAAGGGATTGTGGCGATGGGATGATGGTGATCGGCGCGAAGGTTGACGGAGAAAATGCGACCGAAGTCTGCGATGACAACAACAAAAAGTCTGGCGACGGATGCAATTCGCAATGCCAGATCGAGGTGAGTGGTGAAAGAGATGTAAAAGCAGCTGGGACGCCAACCCATTTCCGTTCCTTCCTGTTGGTCGATTCGCAGCCTAGCTGGCAATGTGTTGAACAATTGATTCCACCAAGGCCAGCTGGGGGCGCTGACTATTCCATCCAGGACGGCCCCTCGGTTTGTTCTCCGCTGTGCGAAGACTCCTTGCAGGAGAGTCTGCAGCCGTACAGCGCCTCTCTCTTCAACTGCGACGACCCCTCTGTGCCCGGCGACATGTCACTCACGTGCTTTGCGGAGATGTGTGGCATGCCCGTCTTCCGCTCGTGTGCCGAAGTGCGAGCCGAGCTCACCACGACGCACTACTGCCTGCCACTCGAAGCACCCAAAGTAACCAAGGCGGCCAGGAAGGGATTCGAATAGTCGCATTGTCTTCATCCTGTCTGTCAGGTTATCGACGCCTACCTCCACAGCAGCTTCACCATTTTCTACATCGACTTCGACGTTCCCACCAACCGTGCGCGCGTCCCACAGGGCAACGGCAAGTCTCAAACTCAGGCCCTCAGAGAGACGTGCCTGCACTTGTTGGATGACGAGACGTACGCTCGAGTCGGGAGCGACGCTGAGTGCCTGTGGGCCCGCCCATCACAGCTGGCAGTGTCGCCGGGGCGCACAAGCAAAGTCCGCGTCGGCCAGCAAATCGGTCTCAAGGGCAACGTCATCACCGGCACCGCTCAGTCGAGCGACATGATGAAGTTTCTTGAGTCTCGCAGACGGCTCACGGCCTCTCACCGATCGCACTGGCGGCGACTGACCCAATCTGTGACGAGAGAGAGGGGTTTGTTGGTCGACAGAGAGCCGCTGGTGGCCAGGAGGTATCCGTGGGGCATCAAGAGCAGCGTGAGACGCCTGCAGCTTATTCAAAGCGGCCTGGACAGCAGGTATGCACCGAAGGCGACTGGTGATATTTCAACGATGCTCGACCGGCCGAAGGAGTCTGTCCTCATCCCTCCCACGATTGAGGTGATTGCCCCATCCGTCACGACTCCCTGCATCTCGCTGTCGGTGGCTGTGAGGGCCGAAGGAGGGGGAGGCAGGCCACTCACCATCAAATACGAAGCTGTCTCATCGCCTGGAGGGGAGCGGCTCAAGAGCTACATCAACAGCTTGCTGGAGGGGTTCACCAACCAGCCGAACTTCCAGCTGCTGCCGAGCGATCTTGAGCCTCCCCCGATGGCCATTCCTGATGAGCTGACGTGCATCGAGAACACGACGTGCATATCGACGCCCGACCGAACTTGCAAGAGTGTGGGCTACGTCGGCATGGGCGTAGTCGCTTGTTGCTGCATCGACGGCAGATGGGACCTGACCCACATTGGCGCTGGCGACGTGGGGATCGGCGTAAGTGAAGCAATGCTACGATGTGAATACAACCTTGGTTGACTGTTTCTCTCTTTCGCAGCTTGATCCGGATCTCCAGCTGAAAAACGATCCTCTCTACCAGGCCCTCATTCTTGAGAGCAACACAACCACCCGCATTCTTCTCCACGACCCGAGAGGCGGTCTCTCCTCCAGCAGAAGAGACGCAGCCGGCAAGGCCATCGAGTCCGACCCTTTCATTATCCGAGTCACGGTGCAGAATTTTCTCAACCTGACAGCTGGTAGATGAGAAGCGCGCAGGGAGGGAGGCAGGCCCAACCACTGTGTATCTGATGTTCGTCAGTGCAAGACGTCACGATCCGCTTCGTACTTCAAGACTTGCCCGTCATCACCTCACGTGCGCAGTCGCAGCTCTCTCTTCGTGTGCGGCAGGACGCCCTGCTGGGTGCCAAGCCGATCGGCGGAGCAGTCGAGAATTGCGCTGTGGCCCGCACAGACGACGTGGAGACCGTCTACAAGTGGCGACAGCGCACACAAGAGCTCGAGCAGTGGCGCCATGCACTTGACGTGGACGCATTGAAGGTACACACCAGCACAGAGACAGGCAAAGAGGCAGGCTCACAGCATCCATCCTGCAGAGTTGTGCCATGGATGTCATTTGGTAACTAAGGCTCTCAGCCAGTCACCAGCGTCTTTCCGCATCCCGCCCAACTCTGTCAAGGCTTCCCACAACTACACCTTCGATGTCATCGCCTTCTACCGCACTCGCGAGACGGAGACTGTTTCTGAGAGGGTGAGGCGACGGCGACTGGAAAGGAGAACGGAAAAGGAGAAACATGGTCTGGAATCGAGGAGCAAGCCGCAGCTCCAGTGGCTCAGTTCCCTCGCGTCGAGCATACGTGGTGGCCTTTTCACATCGAGACGTGCTCTGCAGCCATCAAACAGCACTGGTGACGATTTGAACGTCATACTTCCCGCCACCACACTGCCTCCCACCGGGACCAACGGCAGCACCATTGCCCCTCCCTCCGTGACCATCGATGTTGACGCCATGCCTCAGATGACGCACAAGCAGCGGACTACCAAGGGCCCCTCGTGGCACGCCATTCGCCAAGAGGAGGATGCCAAGTATTATCCAACCAGTGACACCCCGTTCTCGCAAGTGACCTTTGAAGTCAGAGTGAGGGAGCCCCAGAAACCCATCGCCGTACTCTCTCCCCCTAGGATCAACGCTGACCCACGGTGAATGCGGTTGTCGCCGCAAAAGAGAATTGATGCAGAGAGACTACGGCTTCTGGCAATGACTTGCTGGTCTGTGTAGGTGTCCGTTACTGCTTGATGCGTCGAGGTCTCGCGACCCCACTTACAGCATCGCTCAGCCAAAGCCTGATTATGCCCCCAGACTCCAGTTCGAGTGGACGTAAGAAAAAAGAGACACGTGGTGTACGGGTCTGTTTTTGTTCCTGTTCTGCACTGCAGGTGCCATGTGGCCAGCACTCCAGAAGACGGCAAAAGAGTGCAAGTAATCCTGCCGCCTGAGGAAAATGTTGCCACCGCTTCACCGATCAATAACTCAACTCTGTGCATGCTCGACCCAGACGACAATACAGCTGACGTATGCCGCGCGCGGGATGGCACGACCTACGCGTCCCTTGTCGAGTCCAACATCCTCGACTTCTCTCAGCCAAAACTGATCTTCCCAGCGGCTTACTTGCCCACTCCTGGGTCTGTGTACGTCTTCATCGTGCGGGTGTTCTATAAATGGGACGATCCGGACCTCGACACAGCCATTGATCCAATTTTTGAAGCGGAGGCCCAGGCAGAGGTGACGATCGACGATGCGATTGACACCAGCCTGCCGGTGATTCCCACTGCCGAGTTTGAGTACCTGACGGACCGCTTTCCCACAGACCAGATGCTGACTCTTCGCGCGTTCTTGCGGTTGTCGAAAGATGGTGAATGCTCCGCGCTGCCAGAGGACACGGCCGTGCAGTTTCTGCTCAACGACGAGGATGAGAGTGTGGTGGCGGGGGAGATGGAGGCACCGCCCTACCCTGTTGGTGTGCATGGAGTAATGGAGGTGGCCTTTGTGGCCATCATCCGGCCGGAGGAGGGCGTGTTGCAGGCGAACAGGAGGTACACATTCACCATGATGCTCGAGGGCGGTGGGGCTGTCATGACTGTCGACTCAAACGAGGTCCTTGAGACACACGCGAGACATGAATACATACAAAAGAGGGTCTTCATGCTGTCGTGTTTATTTTCAGATGTATGTGAATGCACCGCCGGCACTCGGTGTGGTGACGTGCTCGCCTTCCAACGGGACTCAGCTGCTGACAGAGTTTACCCTGACTCAGTCAGGGTGGCAAGATGACGACACGCCACTTCACTATCGGTTCGCCTCACTCCTGCTCAACGACACAGACAGTCAGGCGACTTATCAACTACCTGCCACTGTGGACGTGAATGACCCCAACCATCAGCTGCTCGGCCCTTGGTCGGTCAGCCACACCATGAGGACCAAGCTGCGGAGCGGCGACCCCCTCTTCATCATCGGATGGGTGCGAGACAGCCTGGGTGCCGTCTCTTACGCGATTATTAACATCACTGTGGACGCTACTGCTCTGCCTCCGACGAACCTGCAGCGACTAGTGACATCCGAGCGAAAGTATGCTGACAGCGCCGCGGTGACATCTATCGTTGGTTTGGCTGCCGCGAGCATCGGTGAAGGCTGCAATGGGACGGTAAAGGGAGAGGTGAGGTCGCTGCAGAGTGGGCTACTCGATGCACTGGACTCGAGCCAGCAGGGCACAGATATCTCGGCAGACGCAGTGGACCAACAGGCGAGAATGAGGCACAGACTTAGTCGCTCGACACACATGACGCACTGGCTTCATGTCTTCTCCTTCCTGCAGGGCTCGGCGCTCCTACAGATCACCAACAGCTCTCGCAACGCACCTGCCGAAACAACCGGAACAATGCCCGAGAACTGCCCCGCCAGCTCTCTCAATGGCCGGCTTCTCACTGATGAAGGCGAGACCGTCTCCCTCGGACCTGTCCAGCTGGAATCTGCCCAAGACATCACTTCTTCCCTCCTCGGCTCGCAGCGTGCCTCGAGTGAAAAGTTTCGGGAGAAGTCTGGCAGCTCGATCTTGTCGGTCATCCAGAACACAGTGGAGGAATCGGTCGAGAGCTTCCAGACCTACGAGGCAAGAAGACGCAGAAGACTGCAGACGGGAGAAGACGACGAGGTGTCCAATCCCACCCCGTTCGTCACGACCGCACGCAGCCTGGCCTTCGGCCTCGGACAGACGGCCGTCGAACAGCTGGATGGAGACACGGGGGAGGCGAGTGAGTTCAACAGCCCGATGATTGCCCTTGGAGGTCAGCGTGTCAGCTACGACCTCTTCCAGAGCGAGACAAGTAGACGCCGGAGGGCTCTCGGGGCGACACAGCGGTCGCTTCAAGGTGCGTCCACTCCACCTCCGTCTGACAGCACGCCGTCACCCGACCTGACCGATGATGACGCCGACGAGGCTGATGCTCCTGTTGTGAGACTCACATGTCCTGGAGGCGTGGAGCTGCCAGCTGAGGTGAGTGAGAAGGGAAGCAGACACACTGACTGACATTCTTTCTGCGTCGGTGTTTTGGGTCAGAACCTGAATGCCTACTTCAGCGGTCACGTTGAGGGCTCGCAGGTGCGTGCCTTGGGCTTCTCTTGTCTGAATCAGGATTACTCTTTCGACCCCTTCCTGACCAATATCGACACAGCGCGGAGACTGCAGCTGCAAGACCAGTATGAGAGAAGGCTGAGGGGGCTGCAGGGAGAGGAGCGGTTGCTGCAGCGGGGTGACCCGGCCCTCCAGTCGGGAGTCAAGTCGTTCGACATCCTGACTCCTTCGCTAGTGGATGGATCGAAGCAAGAGGTCAGACGAGAAGGAATAGCGATGCAAGAAACTCTGCCATATGCTGAACCCCATATGCTGAACCCCTCGTAGTCGCGCAGCATCCGTGGCCTGGATGACGGCTTTGTGTTTCGGCTGTGTGCGCAGCCGCGTGAGTTTGAGCCGCCAGAAGCATCAGACACAGAAGCTCTCAAGAAACGCTTTGCCGAACCAAAGACTGGATGCAGGTCAACAGACAAGCCATTCATTCCTTGGCCAGGGATGCCTCCCTTATTCTCTCGTGTATTCAGATACTATGCGGGCGGCGAGTGGACGGATGAGGGCTGCAGCGTGCTGAATCAGACCGATGATAGCACATGTGTGGTGTGCCTGTGCACCCACCTGACGTCCTTCGGGGCTTTCATTGAGGAGGGCAGAAACGTTCTCACAGAATCAAACTACGATGTACCCAATTCGAGGGAGAGGAAAAGATTCACAAGAAGCAAACATGGTTGCTTGTCTTCGTGTTGCGCAGGTGTTGACGAACTTCAACCAGCTGTCCAAGATATCCTTTACTACATACGGCATCTACTTCTTGGCTTTCCTGATCGCCCTCGTCGTCAGCATCAATGTCAACGCGATATTCGTCGGTCAGCCGATTAAAGAGAAAAGAGTGCATACGGACGGCATAGCTTGATAGTTTGTGTCCGCCCCTGCAGATGCCCGCTTTGGCTATTCAGAGGAAAAGTTGGTGAAGCTGATGTTCATGGATCTCATGCCGCGTGGATGGAAGCCAAAGAACCCTGGTGGGCGCGTGTGTCTCCTGACGACCATTGAAGTGAATGACTGGCTGCGTGTGCAGGCATCTTTGCGATGACCTTCATCATCCTGTTCTCCTTCATGTACACCGAGGTAGAAATGGCAGCGAAAGACAACAGCCTAACCTTTCGGTCTCGACTGTTCATCGTAGGCTGAGATCCGGCCGGAGGGCCCACAGGAAGACATCGGCGGCAGAAAGAAGAAGCGCAAAAAGAAGGTCGACGTGGCGATAAAAGAGGCACCAAGCCCCGAACAGGCAACGGAAGACGAAGACAAGCCTGCCAAGAAAAAGGGATTCTTCGCCCGAGGGATGCAGAAATACTCGGCCCTCGTGCAGCTGCTGCGGAAGCGAAGGTGCAGGACAACCACCGATCGGTGGAAGCTGAATAATGCACCCATTTCCTGCCTTTCGCCAGGTCACAGGCGACTGTTTTGCGCGCCGACAGTATTACCGACGGCACCAAGCGTCCCGAGCCCGAGGAGGAGCCATCAGCCCGGAAACCAAAGGCGAATGGTGCAGTGGACGTGTCGAAAGAGGACAGGTTCAAGCTCCCACCACTGCCGGGCGTGCCGTCGAAGACCAAATTTCAAAACGACGTGGACCAAGACAGACCGCCGCAGCCTACAGCTCTGCACATGGAGATAGACGAGGAGTTACGCGATCGCGGCAGCCCGTTGCGTGTTGAGGGGGCTGTGTTTCCTTCGAAAGACCACGTCATGGCCTCAGAGCGCACAACCGATGCTGACAACGGGACCATGAGGTAAGGATGACATATCCACGACGAGTGTAGTCAACTCATCAAAATCCGCGCTTTCCATCAGGCGGCCTGAGGGTGAGCGGAGTGCGGGAGAAGAGTCGGGCTCTTCCAGCTCTGCCGAGTCGTCCGGGGGATCGCCCACTGACGCTGAGACGGGCAAGGCGTCCAAGGGGAATCTGTCGCCCACCACTCGGACGCGGCTCAAGAAAGAGGTCACAAGTAGAGACCACAAAAGGTACTTGACAGACAAGTCAGCAGCCGCCATTAACGAGCAACAGCAGTGTGTGCATGTCGGCGATCACTTTGCAGCTGGTCGCCGCGTCAGATCATGATGAATGTGTTCAAGCGGGACCATCCTGTGGTCGGCCTCTATGTCATTCGGCCACACATCACGTGCCTCCAGAGATGTCTCGTCCTGACCACCACTCTAACCTGTTCGATTTTCCTCTCCGCTTTCTTCTTTGGTGCCACTGATGTGGACGCGGCGGCCGACCCCTCAGGCCAGGAAGTGCAGGTAGGTATGCATCACCGGCCAGGCGAGACGAGACATGGCATCTGTGCCGCACCTTCGTGCTCCTGCAGGTCCGGGTGACGTTCAGAACGGTTTGGGTGGGAAGTAAGTAACTTGCAAAGCAGACATCACGGGAACGCGATTGCAACATGTCTGTGTGCAGTTTTCTCCATATGCCTTAGTGCTTTTATGAGCATCCTTCTTGCTCAGCTGTTTTTGAAGAAGGTGCGCAGCGCACAGGAGCAAGAGCGATCAGGCGATCAAGAGAGCTCATCCATGTCTCGATTGGGTGCAGGTTTATTATGATCGCAAGACCGTCGAGCAGAAAGTGGCCATCATGCGGACGTGGCACCGCAAGCATGTGGCTGGTGTCATCATCGCGGTCGCCTTTCAGCTATTCTGCATCTTCTACCTTTTCATGTTTGTCGTCACGGTGGACCAGCAGCAGGTGATTGACTGGCTCATCAGCGGTGTTTTGGGCCTAGGGCAGCGGTTCATCATCACGCCTATCATCATGATAGCCGCCACGGCCCTGCTGCTGTGGTGGAGCACACGCTCTGACCGCTTTGATGGCATATTCCTCATGCTGCCCAAGCTGGCTAATTTTACTGGGGTCGTCGCGGTGAGGCGAAAGAGACATGGGCCTGCCTGCATGTCGTCCTGTCGCTGTCATGTCTCCATACATGCAGGACAAGAAGCTCGACAAGACAGAGCAGAGACTCGAACAACTTGCAGAGGTCCGCCGTGCACAAGCCCTCTTCTTCCTCCATATCTGCTTACTCTTCTGCCGTTTTGTATCAGTACGAAGATTGGAAGAAACGACGGAGTGAGAGCTTGACGGAGGAGCAGAAGGCTCGCCGGAGGAAACTGAGGGCGAGCATCATCGCCGTGCAGGCGATTGTTCGTATGGGGGGGATAGATCGCAGGGCGTCTCTCGAGGCTGATGAGGAGGGCTGGCAAGCTGAGATGATGGCATATGAGCAAAAGGCGCTCGAGAGGGCGCTGGCCAGGGCAAGGCCTGAAGACCTCTGGAAGCTGAAGGTGATGCAACGACACAACGGCAGAAAAGACGGCAGATTGGCACCGATTCTGAGTCTTGTATTCATGTCTCAGGCGGGTCTCTTGCCCAAGTCGGATATCATGAAGCTAAAGAAGGAGGCCATGAGAGAGCGCAATCGCACTCTGGGCGGCAGCCCCATCAGCAGTGTCGGATCCTCACCCACGAGGACCGGCTCCTCGCCCAAATTCCTCCTGCCATCCATCTTCACGTCAAGGCAGACGGACTCACAACGAAATCTGCAGCGGGGCAAGTCTCTCAAAATTGTGCCCGAGGAGCCTTCAGTCAAGGAAGAAGAGGAATTGCCAAAGGGCTATGAGGAGCTGCAAGTAAGTAACCAGACACGATATACGATCCGTTCTCTTACCTTGCATTCGTCTTTGTGCTGTGCGTGGTGTGGCAGATGATGCGCGAGACGGGCAACACAAGCCTTGTTCTATCCAAGATGAAGGAGGCACTGGACAGGGACATGCATGTGACTCGCGAGGAGAAGCTCGAGCGCATCAGCACTAAGAAGCGAGAGGAGAAGCAGCAGAGGGAGTGGGAGAGGAAGGGCAAGTTCAAGGCACAGGAGGAAGAAGAGATCGCGCGCAAGAGGCAAGCACTCAAGAATGTGGCCGGGCTCAAAGAAGAGGAACGACGCAAGTCCCGAGACGAACCCGTGGACCCATTTATTGAAGCCAAACCCCTGGCCGTCCGCACCACTATGATGGCCACAGCTACAGCCGCGGCAGCAGGAGCAGCAGCCGGCACCCAGGCGCGCGAGCAGGCAGCTGAACAGGAGGGCCAGGAGGCGGCTGAGACAGGGGCAGCAGAGGGAATGGGGGAGTGGTTCTCATTCTGATTCAATGCATCTCTCTGGCTGGATGCATTTGTCATCTCCCTCCCTAGGTGGGCTGCGAAATGTAGTTGTGGACTTTGAGTTGTTCACTGCATGACTTGCATCGCCATTTCTGCATGGCCCTCTGTCGAAATGTAGAAGAAGTGTCCATGCTCCATGTGCATGGGAGGGACGGCGCATGGGACGCTCCAGGGGACCGTTGTTGCCTGCATCCTCAACTGCTTCGTTCGTGGGAGTAGGTGTGAGGTGATGATTGATGGTGGATGAGTTTCGGATCGATCCTCGGTCCGAAACCCTAAACTCCTTGCGAGCTTTGTCTTTTCGTCGCGAGGTCTAGGAACCTTTCCCTGCTTTCTGCGATGCGGCTGATGCGGAATCAGGATGTCTACAAAGAGAGGTCCGAGCATGGCATTCGCAGCCTCTCTTGCCTTCCGGAGCTGATTGTCCTCGATTTGGATGATGTAAGACGAGGTCCACATACACAGCAGCACGCAGACAGATGTGTATCTCTGTGGCCTGTGTCCATTGTGTGTGTCAGACGCTGTGGGTCGGCGACATCGACTACACAGAGGGCCCTCCATTCAAGCGGAGAAGCAACGACTCCATCACCGACAGGCGCGGCAACGTGTTCCGCCTTTGTCCCGACGCCATTCGGGTGCTCGATGTCTGCGTCGATCTCAAGATCCGCATAGCCATTGCGTCCCGGACAACCACGCCGCGATGGGCTGAGCACGCCCTGCAGCTGTACCAGCTGTCGAGTGGGCAGAGCGTCGCCAGCGTGGCACCGATTCGTGAGATGTATCAGGGCTCCAAGCAGCGGCACCTCAACCAGATCGTGCGCAAGAGCGGGGTGGACAGAGAGAGGACAGTCTTCTACGACAACGAGTACTGGAACATCACTGACGTGAGCGAGATCGGCATCCTCTCCATCTACACGCCAAGAGGACTGGTACGCAACAGACAGACAAACAGACAGACAGACAAAGAGACACACGCAGGAGATTCGTGGCTTGTGTCTGTGTATGTGCAGACATGGGCGAAGTTCTGCGAGGGTCTGTGGCTGCATGAGGAGCAGCAGATGGCCGCCTTATCATCGAATGGTGACGGGGGTGACGCGAGCGGTGAAGCAGAGGAGGAGGATCCATCACCAGCAGAGGGCGGCAAGGTACCCGATGACGATGAGGGTGCGGCTCCGGCTGAGTCGATCGACGAGCCCGTCATGGGCGGATAGACGAGAGGACGGTGTGTGTACCTATGTGTGCGTGGAGCGTTTGATGTGTACAGTTTTGTTTGTCAAGTGGGGTGGATGTACAGGAGTTTTGCCTTTTATTGATACATGGAAACGTGCAGCGTCTGTACAGAGAGCATAGCATGCGTGGATCCTGCTGGCTGTGTGTCTCGCTGTTTGCGCATCGCCCTGCCTTTGTTGACCGTGGCGAGAAACCGATGGACGATCGGTGTCTCATGACTAGGTTGAGTCCAGATGTGTGGCAATGCGGACGCACAAGGCGTAATTGTGGTTGGTGGCGCTGGCTTCACTTGACTCGTCGCTGCCATCAAGCATGCTATGGATTGATACAATCGACGGAATACATTCGCTGAGACCCCTGACAAGATACACAGATCCCATTGGTTTCTTGCTTTCGGTCTTCACGTGGTCACGTCGCCTTCGTTGTGGTGCGTCCTTCGCGGTCGGGAGTTGGCGTTGCCGCCGTTCGACACACAGAGACGGCTGCAGCTCTCACCTCCCCACCAGACAGGACAACCGAAGAAGACCACAGGACAACACACAGAATAAGGCCCCCCTGCCGTGCCCCATCAAAGGCATCCATCGACAAGACAAAAAAATGCACAACGGCAAGTGCCCTCACCTCTTAAGTCAGTCAGCATCTCTCTCAGTCACGTCACACATCACATCTATCACATCAAGACCAAAAAGGCAGGCACCGCACGCACACCGACCTACACCTCGACAAGGACAGGCTGCTTCTTGTAGGCAAACACATCACCAGGGGCCACATCAGAACCCTCCATGCTCATGCCCTGCAGCACGCCCAGCCGCGCTCGTGCGATCGGTGCCGCCCTAATCGACTCGTCCGTGACGCCGATCTCCTGCAACGTCGGGGCTGCAGCAGAGACACAAAGATGCGGACACGCGTGTGTGCATTCGTTGTGTGTTGTCTCGACTGACTGACTGACAAGTCGGAATGATGGCACTTGGGTTGAGAGGGAAGAGGCTGCGGTAGTAGCTGTCGTGAGCAGCCGCCAGATCAAAGGTCTCCGGCACACCCGGCAAGGCCCACATCTCACACAGCCTGACACACACACAGCACGCCACGCACACATGCAGTCCTTCCTTGTTGTCGAGGCTCGCGCGAGCCTCTCACCATGCTGACACGTTCGGCAGGTCCCTGACCCGCTTGTTGCTCGCCCGGAACAGAGTGCCGTACGCAGCGTCGAATCGCGCAATGGTGGGCAGCACCCGCACGTCCGTCTCGCTGACCACCGGCCCTGCAATGAACCTCCTCTCGGCTAGAATGCTCTCAAGACGCATCAGGGCCTCATCGACATCTCTCGCTGCTCGGTCATAGGCCTAACGGATAAATGCAATGCAGCGGATGGAATGGAATGTGTGTTTGTGTGGGGGAGAGGAAAGGGTGGCGGGGAGGGCACCTACCTGTTGTGTGGTTGCGAAGCCGCAGCGATAGACGCCGTTGTTGAGCTTCTCGTAGAAGTAGTCATTCAGCTCGTCGATGGTGCCGCGCAGAGAGGGAGGGTACAGGTCGACTGATGGCCTGACACACAGACAGACACCCACGGCTATCCAAGTATAACACACAAAATGGGATGGAAGTCTATCTCGTGTTCTGATGGCGATAACGTTTGTTGCGGTGGGTCGAAGCTGTTGAGGAATCTGATGATCTGGCTGGACTCGTTGTTGATGAGCTTCTTCCGGTACTTGTCGACCACCAGGGGAGCCGTGCACCGACCGCGATAGCCCGGCTCAAACGCATCATACACCTACCACACCACACCACACATACGGACAGACCAGTGACTGACGATGGATGCATTCCCTCTCTCTCTTCCCCACCCCCAACACACACACCACACACGCGTGCATTGATTGCATTTGTCCGCCGACCCGACCTTTCTGAGATCGTTTGCATTGATGACTGGGTCCCTGTGTGTGTCGTCGAATGCCCAGCCCCCTCGGGATGCCTTGACGGGGTCGTCGATCATCTCGGTGTACCCGATGTAGTCGGTCAGGTTGCGGATGTGTAGGCTCAGCAGCACCCGGTGGCACCATGGACACGCATTGCCCACATAGCTGTCAGACCAATCAATGGATCGACAAACATCCACAGGTATCCATGTGGATGTATGTTCATGTGTATGTGTGTGGAGGAATGTCCATACATGTGGTATTTGTATGGCTGTATTGGGTCGAATTCGATGGTATTTGTATAGGCGTACGAGGGCCTCACGAAGTCGCCCTCGTCGCTTTGTGGCGCCAGCTCCTTCATCATGATCCGCCACGCCTCGCGCCACCCAAAGCGAGCCGTCTTGACCAACGTGCCCTGAGGGAGGCAGGCAGCCACAGACATACAAACACTCTCACCTGCCTGTGATTGTGCTGCTCTGTGAATGTGTCGGTCTCACCTGCGATACAATGCCACCGGTCCACTCCAAGAGACGAAGGCCGCCTGAAAAGACAGACAGACAGACAGACAGTGAGAGATATGCAATCGCACGTTTGTGCATGCAGCTGGCTGGCATGCATTGCGCACCGCTGCTGACCTTTTGATTGCTCCATCGTCACCCGCCCTGCCCTGTGCGCGCGACGGAGCCCACCAGGCGGCTTTGGCCTCCCCGACAATCGATGAAGGCCTCCCCACTGCCATCTCCCCGTTGTGTGTGTCTGCACGAACGACGAGTAGCTGTCTGTCGCCATGGCGAAGCCGGTGAGCCATAAAGAGATGAGGAGTGTTTGGATGAGTGCAGGAAGCCACATGAAGGCTATGCAAGGGGGCGGCGGCTTCAACATCAGATCAGATCTATCGTTGGATCTTGATTCCGCTGCGGCCGCCTTCTGATGAGCGAAAAAGCGATCCTCGCGCGAGCTTGAAAAACACGCGAAAAACGACCCTGGGCAGCTGACTCATCTTTGCTGGGTGCATGCACGTGGGCCGAGAGTCGTTGGACATGTTTTGAGTCGTTGGATGAAAGATGAGTATCCACACACGCATGAAAACGCATGTAGCGGGCAGGAAGCAGGAAGAGGAACACAGAACAGACCCAGAGCGAGTCCAGACTCATCCATCCATCCATCCATCCCTCCATTCACGCAGTCGCTAGGTGAGTCTCTTGCTGAGGACGTAGCAGTCGGAGGGGTCGAGTGTGGTGTAGTAGTGCTCCAGCCTGTTGATGACGCTGAAGCCGTACTGCTGATAAAACGCAATGGCCACGTCATTGTTGCTCTGCACGTGCAGATAAATGTCATCCAACACACCTACAGGCACACAGACAGCCACACAAAGTGCCAGCCATCCGTGCAGGTAGTCAGTCGCCTTGTTTCGCCTCACCGTACTCACTCACCGTGTCCCCTCTGCGCTGGAGTCTCCGCGTTTGCCTTGTGCACCTCATCCAGCAGCCACTCCAGCAGACGAGTGCCTGAGAACACATGCACGCACCCACACAGACGGACAGACAGACAGACAGACAGACGTACATGAGCCCAGTATACATGTTAGTATCCATCCCCTCCCTCGTGAGCACTGCACTGTCTGACCGATGCCCAGCCTCCTGTATGGTTTGAGCACCCCCAGTGTCATGATGTACAGCCGGCACCCGCCACCTTCAGACGACACACGAGGGGTGGGGCCATTGGGCAGTGACGATGACGGCACATCTGCAGACACATGGGGGGCAGGTGGAAACAAACCAGAAGTGTCCAGATACACACACACGCGCCTTCCCCCGTGTGTCATGCGAGCGCTGTACCGTACCGTCTGTGAGTCCGTTTGCGTTGCTATGGTTGTTTGGTGCGGGTGCTGCATCAGGCGGCATGGGGAGGGCTGAGGAGGCAGTCTCGACGCGACAACACAAACCGGCCACCAACACGTCCTTTAAGTAGGCTGTCCAATACACCACCATCACACACAACGGAGAGAGAGCATATCGATCTACATTTATACACGACTTCTGTGACTGTGTGGGGTCACTCACCTAGGCGCGAGTATTTGGTGTGGTTGACGACGTCGGCGTAGAAGCCGTCCTTGTACACGACGGGGAAGGTGGCAAGGTTCAACTTGCGCAGCTGCCCAACATTCTTCTCATTCAGAAAACCTGCCAACACACACATACACACACACACACAGACAGATCCCAAGCATGTCGTGTCGTTACATCCGCCCGTGGATCTAGCTATCCCATCCCGCATCCGATCCCGCCCTGGTTACCCACCGAGTTCCATCTGCAGGTCGTCGGTCTTGGCCCTCTTGCCTCGCCGTCCCTTCTGTGTCGTAACAGCACTCGTCGCCTCCTCCGGACCTGGAGCTGCCACGACTGATAGGGCATGATCTTCGTTCTCGTCATCTGCAGCTGGTACGGCATGCGCTTCACTGTCGTCTTGTGCGGGTGTGGCAGCAGATGCTGCAGCATCATCGGGGACACAGGGGCGGCCAAACAGGCGGCGCTCACTCTCCTCACGCTGCATCGTCCTGTCATCCTTCTCGGAGCCATTGTCGTCTACCACAGGAGCCTCCATTCTGGTCTTTTTACTTGGCAGCGGCATCGGCAAGCTTGCCGCGAAATGGCGCGGTTAAAAACAGAAAATGATCTGAAAATTCACGCGGCCTAACACCTGCGTAGCTCTGGTACTCTCCCGTTCCAATGTCGCTCTGTCAGCGAAGAGGCGCATGCGTCAGACTCCTGCTTGCCGTCATCATCCTTGCCATCAACACGGGCAGCACCGAGAGGAGAAAAGCTTTGCACCAAGGTGAGGCAGAGGAGTGCAAATCCATGCATGTGAGGGCATGAGAGGCTGTCTGGCTGCAGGGCGGGTGGCTCGCAACTCGATAAACGCATTGTCGTGTGTTCTGAAGCACTTTGAGGTAGAGTATCGCGCCAAGAAGGAGAGCTACGCACGCACCCGACAGGTTGGGAAACATGAATCACATTCGACATGCATTAAAGGTCGCACGACTGTGTGTCTTTGGTGCAGCTGGGTCTGGAGGTGATTGATAGGCTGCCTTTGAGGTGGCTGTTGAAGGCTCAGGATGCTTACACGGGCCTCAGAGGGGCCCTCCGACGCCTCAATTCTGACAGTGACGCCGGCTATTCCCGACAGATTTGAGAGACTGGTCCTGCCGTGACTGACTGGCTGGCTGATGTGTGTCAGATGGGACGACCGACGAGGACGCTGACAAGCTGCGAAAGGAGAGGGACGACGTGTGCAATGAGGCCACCACGATCGTGAGCTTTGAATGATGGGCCAGCCGGCCGGTTGGCCACTCTGGAGTGTGTAAGCTCGCTTGTCGTGTCGTCCGTGTGTTTGATAGATCACCGGCAGGCTCAACGGTACGAGCGACAAGGGCAAGAAGGCCTTGGAACTGGTCGACAAGTGGATGAGTAAGGAGAAAGGAACATGGGCCTCTGTCAATTGCTTTGGTGGCTTGCTGGCTGGCTGGCTGACTTGCTGCTGTGTGGTGTGTCCCTCACTCAGGCGGGACAAGTGCGATTGCCGATGTGATTGACGACCCCGAAGCAAACGGACAGGCATTCGGCATGAAACTCGCGTGAGTCACCGCATCACAGATATACAGAGAGACAGATAGGGCAAAATTCTCTCCAAACCGGCTGAGTTGTGTGCGTCAATCGATCAGGTCATTCATGGTGCCGGCAGTGTTTGGCCTGGTGTTGTTGGGTGTGGTCTGGCCGGGGCTCTGTTGCGCATTCTGCTGCAGAGGATGCAGGAGGTGTGTAAAAGAGGGGAAGTCAACACATACATACGGGCCCCACCCCCTGCGCGAATGCATGCAGGCGGTGCCCGTGCTGCAAGGAGCCTCGTGAAGTGCCACAGGGTTCGTGTCTGAGCGGGCTGGTGTTTCTGGTGCTGTACGGCTTCCTCACGCTATGTCTGCTGATCTTCGCCTTTCTGTCAATTCGATACATCGAGGACTTCAGAAACGGGTCAGTGGGTGGGGGGGCCGCATACAAGTGTGTGGATGTGCGGGTGCGGTGTGCAGCATTGGCAACACCATGTGCGCCGTGTTCAACTTTGCTGACGAGGGTCCGGCCGGCCAATGCACTAATAAAGGGCAGTAATTGTTCCAGCGATTGTCTCCGTCTGTGTGTGTGCGTGTGTGAGTCCAGCTCTGTACGGTTCGGCCGAGAACACCAGCCAGCCATTCATCGGTAAGCGCACCCAGACACCAAGTCGAGCCGCCCGTTCACTCGTGTGATGTGTTCTGTCGTCTGGTAGGCGTGAAGGGAGCCATCGACAGGTACACATCAGAGTGGCCACGTCACGTGACGGAGAGGTTGCATATTGTGTGTGTCTGCGTGCAGCTTGAATGGTCTGAAGGATGACCTGACTCCCACGGGTCAGCTGATCACCGACATCAACACCATCCTGGACAACACGCTCGACTTCACACAAAGTGCGCCACTCCCGCGCCTCACACTCGACAGCCAGCCAGCCAGCCTACACAAGATGTATTTCTCTTGTCCTTTTGTCAGCAAAGGACTCACTTATAGGGCGCCTCTCACACATGCAGACGGTAGGTACGCGACAGAGAGGGAGGAGACACCAGCCAGCGGGCGACCTGTTGCGTGTCGGCCCACAGACTTTGGAGAGCAACGCTCTGATAGTGTCTGCCGAGCAGCATAAGTGTCTTTTCTGCGAGGAGGCCGCCAGCCTCATCAGCAGCTCACTCGCGGACCTCGAATCGGTCGGCAGGCAGGACACACAGAGACCTCGACTCACTCACTCACTCACTCACTCACGTGTGTGTGCTTGCAGGGCATTACCAAAGCGCTGGCCGATGTGCGCGAAATAGTCGACAATAACCTCGGACAAAACTCATCCACACTCACGGTCGGTGGCTTCGCGCGACCTTCACACACTCACCTGCATTGCAATCTGTGCGGGGGTGCGCATGCATGTGGTCAGGACATCAATTCAGCGCTGGATGATGCGATGGAGCCGCTGGAAGATGCCGAGAAATCCTTCAATGACGTCGTCACAGACATTCTTGTCGACCAGAGGGAAATGGTACGCACTCCCAGCCGTCGTGTCTCTTCTAATGCTCTCTCTTTCTGTGTGTGCAGGTGGACCAGCGAAGGCTTCAAATGGGGGCAGGCCTGATCACTGTGTCCGTCGTATTCACGGTCGGTCGATCAGACGACAATGGTGAAAGGAAGACACTTGCAAGGATGTGTATGCTGGTGTGTGGGGTGTGAAGGTGATAGCGTTTGTGGGGATCGGTGCGTTGCTGCTGGCCAAGTGCTCCAACAAGAAGTTCCCCATCGCCATGCCCCAATGCTGCGTCTGGTGCTGCTTCGCACTCTGCTCAAGCATCGGTATTGTATCGCTAGGAGCGCGTGCACACACATCCCTTCATTCTATGTGTCTGTCTTTCCAACCAACCAGTGTTGATAGTGGCGGGGTTCCTGCTGTTCCTGTCGGTGGCTTTGGGCAGCGTGTGCAACTTCGTGCGCGAGGACTTGTTGACGACTGAGGGCTGGAATACATACGGCACGGGCGACACTCTCAAGCTCGACAACCAGACGCTCGACATCATGATCACGGTATACCCACCCATCCACCCGTCCACGCTCATCTGTGTGACAATTATCTATTCCATGTCTCACTCGTGGCCGCTCTTTTCTGTCAGTGTTTGACGCCGGCCGGCTCGGGTGATCTGATGGAGGCCCTGAATCTCACAGGTCGGTCGGTCAGCAGCATGGAAGCAGCTCACCCCGTGTGTGTATGTGTATGTGTGTGGCTGTCTGCCTTATCAGGGGATTTGGATTTCGAGGAGCAGATCGATCAGAAATTCGACGAGCTGGCGGCGCAGCAGAACCAGTCCGTCGACCTCACTGAAGTTGATACGGTAGGTGCGGACACACTGTAACGAACCTGATAACAAACGACCTTCATCAGTGTATGGCTTTTGTCGTTCGCTCAGTTGGTGACGTTCTCGCAACAGTTTGGGTGGCTGATGCTCACAGACGAGAACGTCTTCGACAGTGTGAGGCGACACGGTTGAGGGAGAGACATCGCTGGATGTCCCTGTCTGCTGTGCGGCTAGACATATCCGACTTACGACCTCGTCAAGGGAGTGGGCATCCAGAACGTCAACGGCACCATCACTGACGCAGACGCACTCGCCGCACTCCCATCACCCAGCGGAGGCATATCCTTCGACGTCGTACCTGGTACACACAACACGACGCAGACAGAGAAAGGAGACACCTTTAATACGTGGATGTGTTGTCTGGTCAGGGCTGAGTACACTGGAGAGGGTCAACCGCGACTTGTTGAATGAGGTGCTGAACCCCAATCCGTTTGTGCCCGACAGCCTCAAATACGACAAGTTCTTCTACATGGACGTCATGCACCGTACAGACAGATGCGCATAGCCAGGAGAGGGAAGAGGAAAAGTTGTGTGTGTCTTTCTTTTGCTGTCAGCGTCTGGGATCCCGTCGCAGTTCAACAACAGTGAGGGTAATGCGGCCGATTATCGGATCACACGCAGCTTCGACCACACCAACGCCGTGCGTGCGCACACAGAAAGGACCGACAAATGAGGACAATGACCTCATGGCGATGTTTTCCTCTGTGCGTGTCTCTAGAATCCTCTGGTCAGCAATATCCTTGGCTACTTCCCGGCTGCTGACGTAAGCGAGCAGACATACAAATCTCTGACTATTGTGCAGATAAAGTCCACATGTATCCGTTATCCGTTCAGGCGACAGACTTCCAGAACATGCTCTTCTGGATGAGAACAAAAGCCGTGAGTAACACACAGACAGACAGACAGACAGACCAGTGTGTGTGGGGTCGTGGATGATTAGGGTCTGCGTGACGATGCGGTGACGCACTTCAACTGCAGCGCCTTCGGCGACGTTACGCCCACGTCCATGTGCAGATTTAACGACACCAACCCGGCCAACAGACAGTGGAGCACCTTTGTCACCACAGACCTCGCCGTTCCCATACAGACAGCCGTACACGCACGATGCAATGCACAACACATACATGGGGATTGTCCGTCCAGGCCATGCCATGCCTGGCTGTGATGTGAGTGCAGGGCGTGACGTTGGACACTCAAGTGAGCGACGCGACGGACGAGCTGAATGTGCAGCTGCGGGCGCTGCTCGACGACACACTGGACAAAGTCAGCGACCTGCTGGACGCCATCAACTGCAAGTTCATCTATCGTGGGATGAACGGCATGTTGGAGGGGCTGTGTGGCGAGGTCGTCCCCTCACTCATGCTCATCAGCATGTGCTGGTCAGTCAGTCAGTCAGTCAGTCAGAGGGGGGAGGGAGGGGGGGAGGGAGGGAGGTGCGGGAAGGGACAGGAGACACACGAGTGTGTGTGTGTGTGTGTGTGTTGTCTCTGTGTGTCAGGTGTGTGAGTGGTTTCCTCGGTATCATTCTGATGTTCATGATGTATGCTGCCTGGAGGTCAGCACACGCACCCACACACGGACGAGACACAAACCTGCACCAATGCTCGCTGCATGTGTGTGTCTGTCTCTGTGCTATCGCAGTTTCACGATAGACACAAAGCTACTGTCCAGCTCACTGTAGACGTCTCGTCTCGTAGAGAGACATGTAGATGCACACTGCACAGATGAAGCGGCTGCTCCCAGCTGTACATGTAGCTGCTCTGCGCTGCGCTGCTGGCCATTTATTGAGGTAGAGAGTAGGTATTCGCCCGCTGCGTGCCTGTTGCTGTCAGTGAAGTCCGTCCCTCAGTAGACACTGATTCATGGATGGATGGATGGATGGGCCTCTTTTTCGACGCTGGGTGTGGGTGTGGCATGGTGGGACAGAAGTGTGTTGGTACTGCATGGGGCAACAAGAGATGCATATGAGCTTCATTTCCACAGACAACAAACAGCCATCATCCACGCACAGTAGTGAGTGTATCAATCGTCCTTACGCCTCTGTTCTTTGCCAGCTGCCTCTCGGCGTGTGTCCCAGCACAAGCCCCTCGACCATCCGCTGTGTCGTTTGTTCCAGCGACACAGAGGATGGTCGATGGGCCCCACTAGACACCCGCTCAAGAGCAGCACAGATAGGGGTACATCAACTAGCGGAAGGAGTGAATCTCACTGGGCCGGCTATCTGTCGCTTCGTCTCGCTTAGCACTGCCCGCCAACAGCCCGCCTTCGGCAACCTCACCCTGCACAGCAGCCGAGAAGCGCATGCAGAGTGGCGTAGCCGTTGGCAGCTTTTCGACAGACAGTGCAGCAGCGGAAACGACATGCGGCGTGTGTAGTACAAACAAGCACGAAATTCGTTGCTTCGCAAGGCACGCCCACACCCACACCTCCCTGCCCCTTGACACCGCCTCTCTATCTCTTGCTATACTGAGGCGCCTTCCTGGCCTTCTTCAAGCCATATTTCTTCCTCTCGACACGCCTCGAGTCGATGGTCATCAGGCCCTCCTTCTTCAACACCGGCCGCAGCTCTGGGCGGTCCACCACCAACGCACGCGCCAATGCACTCTTGATGGCCCCCGCCTTGCCGCCGTACCCGCCGCCACGCGCAAACGCGATGATGTCATACTCACTCTCAAGACCTGATGGATGGATGGAGGATGTGTGAAGGCACATGATGTGTGGCGGTACGGGTGACTGTGTCGTGGTGGCGTACCTGTGGCCTCTAGGGGCGACCTGACTTCTTGTACCCACCAGACGTTGTTTTGGAGGTACGACTCGCCCTCACGACCGTTGATCACCAAACGACCCTCACCTGCACACACCAGACATACCATACACACAGTTGCATGTTATCCAGAGGCCGTGTGCGTGGTGTGTGGGTGGGTGGCATGATACGGTGCGTGTCAGGCTAAGATCGCTATCGTCCCTGAGCCACCGCGGCGTGTGCATGAAACATGCCACTATGGCTCTATCACGACAGAGCTAACAACACTACCTTCAAGCGCTCATCATCCAAACGCCGCTGCTGTGGATCCATCTCACTGGCTCACTGCCTGCCTGCCTCGTCGTGCCCCAACGCATCCATCTCTCACCTGGCCTGAGAATGACCTTGGCCCTCGCAGACTTGCGGCTGCCCCTGCCTGCCGGGATGACCATCTCGTCACCCGCGTCCATAGTGGCGGTGGTACCTGATCCACGTGGACAGAGGGCACACAGCCATGAGTAGTCATATCTCCCTTGTGTGCATCCATGCATCCTTGCCCACTTGTCGTGTCAAGGGCGCTCTGCGGGTCCTCTACAGCCATCATCAGCACACTCGACGGCAGCACGCCACTCGACACAACACGGCACCTCCCTCCCAGTGCATGGAGGGGCGGCGACGACCTACCCCGCACACCCAGTGGTGCAAAGGCCGCCGCATCGCTTGTGTGCCTCCTATGGAGGTGGGTGGATGACGCAGGAAAGAGCGCTGTGCGTGATGCGTCGAGGGGGAGGGGGGTGAAAGAGAGGCAGGGGGGGAGGGCGACGAGGGCGATTGAAACAAGGGATGGGAGGGACAGATCAGACAAGATCATCATCGCGGCGCAGCTGCGGTGATGCAGATGTCGGCCGATTGTGCAGATCTCGATGAGTGACGGTTGCCTGCCGTCGTCAACGCGGCATGGGAACGGAGGGGATGAGGGGAGATAAATCCGTGCGAGCTCAGAATGCACTTTAGGGTATCTGTGCAACATGTCCAAGGGTCGGTCGTTTGGTGCTCCGAGGGCTTTTCCTCCTTTTCCGCACCGTACGGCTCTCACAGGAGCATCGACAAGGATTTAGTCGACTTCTCCATTGCAAGGGCGCCCCACCACCGCCCGGGGCGTCGTGACGCCGCCCCGTCGCTCTCCTGAGGCGTCTATCCATCACAATGACGCCACCAATCCGCCTACTCGTCTTCGTTCTCGCCCTCGCGGCCACACCGACGCTCATCAGCTCATCAGAACGTTCCGATAGGCTCAAGAAGGTCCGGGAACTCATCGCGGCGGCACCGGCGCAGTTCCGTGAGGCGTATGCGCCGCTGACCGACACGCTGCATGTGGCCATAACGGTTGAGAGGTTTCTGCTGTCGCCTTTCCGGTGGGGAGAGGGGCCGATAGAGAGGAGATATCTGCGGGCGACGATGCACGGCGACGGGACACATACGAGACGACTTGGTGAGGGAGAGAGAGCGGAGGGGATGGATGCAATCATGCATTCATTGAGAGATTGGGCGGATGTGAGAGATGTTCTTTGTGTGTGTGGTGTGACCAGCTGATGACTCGAAGGAGCTTAAGGAGGTGCGCAAGGATGTCTGCGGGAGGGCCGACGTCGTGGTACGATGCCGCACACATGCAGATGCACAAATGGATTCACTCACAAACGACGAATGAGCGAGTGCTACATGTGCTCATCGACTCACCCGTCTGCCACAGATCAAGGGGAAAGAGCGTCCCGGGGAGGAGGGGAAGGGCACACAGGAGGAAGTCAGCAAATACGTCGGTAAAGACATGGCATGCACCAAGAACCCACGCTCGCACAGCGAATCGGGCATTCCTGTCTCCTTTTCCCTCCCTCTCTCCCTCTTGTTGTGTGGCGAAGACTACGGCTTGTTTCTGGATGTGGTCATGGATCCGGAGGAGAATTGGGAGCCCTACATCAAGGCCCTCGCTGCCGTACTCACGCCCGTCGCGATCGGTGGGTGGGCATTCTATGAGTGCACATCTCTCTTGTGTGTATGTCTGTATGTGTGTATGTGTGAATCTTTGTATGTGTGGATGTTTGGATGGTTGGTTATCAGGTTTGATACTGTTGGTCTTCGTCTGGCCGGTGTGCTGCTACATGGCGTGCTGCCGATGCTGCAGAAGGTATGGATGTCATTGTATTCAGGGATGCCTGCATCCGCCCATTCCTCTGTCTGTCTGTCTGTCTGTGTGCCTGGACTCACTGCAGGTGTTGCGAGCCGAGGCAGCGCCGCAAGAGGTCCTTCCTCTTCAACCTCATATTTCTCATCATATTCTGCGTACGTCTCAATCAAATACGCAGAGAGAGACACGTCTTACATAGGTGTCTGGATGTATGTTTGCGGCCCGTCCTTGTGATCGTATGGAAAACACTGCACGCATGCAGGCCTTCTCCGCCGGTCTGGTGGTTGTGTCGTTCCTGCAAGTCAAGTACAACGAAGACCTCACCAAAGGGTGGGAGAACGAAACTGAATGAATGTGCTGCTCTCTCGTATACGTTCGTTCACACGTAGGGTGACCAACACGCTGTGCGCGATGGCCCAGTTCGCTGAGGACAGCTTCTACGGCAGCGGGGAGCCCAACACCACCGGCTACTTCATCGGACTCAGCAACGCCGTCGACACGTGAGTGGGCGACTGAACAACCAAGTGCCACAGTCTGACAAGAAGAGATGTGTGTGCTGGGTACCTGTGTGGCCGTGCGGTCAGCATGGAGAGCATCTCGAATCAGCTCGAGCCCGACGGCGTCCCCGCCGAAATCGATAGGGTCCTGAATGATACGCTCGACTTCGAGATGGGTACCCACACACATTCTTTTGCACAGGTCAGGTCATATAGTGTGTGCGCGCGCGTGTGTGTGTGTGCGGTGACGGATCAGCCAAGGACGAGCTCGACAATCGGCTCAAGTTCATGGGACTGGTGAGTGGGATGGTCACCTCCTCGGAAGCGACGGACGTTTCCTCCTGTGAGTGACTCAGGTGCTGGAGCAGAACGCCCCCGAAGCAATTGCTTCCGACCACCGATGCGTCCTATGCGATGAGGGGCCAGGTAACCACACTCACTCGTGCACACACAGTGGGTGCAGAGGGGAGACATACCTACACGATGTGGGCGTCAGGTAAAATCACGGCGGCCAGGGATGAGATCAAGACTGGTGTGGTCCAAGCACTCACCAATGTGCGCAACGAGGTGTCCGACTCACTCACGGGAAGCACTCTCGATGTACGCAGCAAACAATAGCCAGAGGAAGAGGGCAGCACACCTACACAAGGGCTCATGGATGCCGGTCGTCGTGTCATGTGCCAGGACGTCAAAGATGGTGTAGAGTCGGGCTCGAAGTCTCTGAAGGACATGAAGGACGAAATGGAGAATCTCATCGTCGACAGCGCCACCGACTCGACCGACCTGGTGAGCTCCAGCGGCTACGTACACAGACAGGTGCACAGGCGAATCGGTTTCTCTGTGTGCGTGTCACAGGTTGAGGACAACGAGAAGATCCGCTATGCCGTCTTCATCGTGCTGGGCGTCATTGCCGGCCTGGCCGGCATACTCGGCGTGCTCGCACTTCTATACTCGGTATGCACACAGGCAGACAGACACGCAGGGAGGGGAGAGGACCATACACACATATCGGCCCCGCCCATCGATTTGTCGATTTGTGTGCAGATGTTTAGCCGTACGCCGAATCCCACTCCCGTGTATTCCTGTCTCATGTACTGCTGCTTCATGGGCATCACCGTATTCGGTACGTATGCGCAGTATCGGCAGTGAGTGACTGCCGGCAAGCGCCAAGAAACATGTCATTCGCTGCGTCTTAACTATCAGCATTCATCTTCGCCGGTCTCGTCCTTTTCGTGGGCGTCCTTATGGCACACGCATGCACCTTCGTCAGGTGCGTGGCTGTCTGGGCAGATAATCGATCAAATATGCACACCTTGACTGTTTACGTACGGTGTATATGCAGGGAGGATCTGCAATCCGAGAAGAGCTGGAACAAGTATTTCGGCCCGGGCACGGACGTCGGCCTCGACACCGACACACTCGACATCGCCATACAGGTACCGCGCTACATAGACAGACAGCAGCACGGACGCATGGAAAAGTACATGGTTCGTGTCCGTCCGTGCAGTGCCTGACACCCACAGGCAACGGCTCCCTCGTCGAGGCTCTGGGCATCGAAGGTCGGTGAATTGCAAACACTTACGGAATCCCCACACACGCAGCCAGACGGCGGCGTCGCCATGTCCCTCTCTGCGTGCGTGTCGCGCGTCTCGTTTTTCAGACGACTTCAACTTCCAGAAGGATATCGACGCAGCATTTGCCGACCTGGACGAGTGAGCAAGCAAAACAGAAATGACTCACTCCCCGCTCACGGCGAAGAGACGGACGGGGGCCTTTTGTGTGTGTTCGCCCAATTCACCCTTCTCAGGAGTGAGAATGCTAGCTTCGCGGCAGTCGACGAGGTCGGACAATATACACACACAGAGAGACACATCGACAAGTGCTTGTTACTTTGTTTGTAGATTGAGAAGACGGCCATGGCCCTGGGCTGGGTCATCATCCCACAGAACCCTTCCCTCAATTCGGTACGGTCAATGAAAGAGAGAGAGAGAGAGAGAGGTAGATACAATGGAATGCGTTTCCGGCTGGTTTTCGTACATGCAGGAACCGCGACCTTGGGAGATACCCACGACTGGCATCCAAAAAGAGCAGACGAATCAGACCGATACCGGTAGGTAGTCTGTCACCGATTGCGTCCATGTGTCTGTTCCTCCCTCACTCAATCATGCGCTCAGATCTTGAGCCGAATGGGCCCATCGAGGGCCTCGAAGAACTCCAAGCTGAGATCCGCAGCAGAATGGGAGGGGGGACTCCGTATTTCTGGTTGGAGTCGCTGTTTGTCCCAGTACCAGGCGCTCCTTTTGCCAACCCGCCTGGTACAGAGTACAGGATTAACGCCGGCTTCAGTCTTGTCGAACCCTTTGCGGTACGTACATGAGCCCACTCACTTGCGCAGACAGACAGACCGACTCGCTCGTCAATATCTGTTTGCACGTGTGTCATGTGCAGACTAACAACCCCACTTTGAACAGCGAATTGGTTGGCCCTTTGGCTGCTGAACCAGCCGTAAGCTTGAAAGGCCAACCAAGCTGGACGGACAACGTAGACTGACAGCACTGTTGTTCATCTACCTCTGGTTTGCAGAGAAGCGAGTTCCTCGCTCTCCTCTACTGGGCCAAGCAAAAAGTCGTAAGTACTTGGTGTCCATACATACACAGATCAATCAACCGAAGGGTCTTGCACTCCCTGCCGGCGTTCTGTATGCAGCAACTGACCGGCACGGGCAACGATGCGTGGTTCTGTCCGAGCTACACCGACCACATCGATCCGACAACTGGCGAGCTCGTGACCGACACCAGCAGCGGCAGCGAGACGCTGGATTCAGGGCGAGGGCTGAATCCATGCGAATACCAGGACACAGGCGGGCTGGTGAGTCGGTGGGTCGGGGTTGGCGAGAAGGAGACGTCATGGGGCCTCTGTTGTACCTACGTCTCTCTGTAGACGGGGATCGACTATTACGACTATCTGTGGAGCAGAGGCTACAATCAGTCCCTCCCGGCTGCGGATCCAGGCATCTCACAGGAAGTCACCATGGCGGTCAGCTGCATCACCAATTAATGCATGCATCCGTTTGATGGCCGTGTGTGTGTGTTTGTGTTTGTGTGTGTGCAGAAGGAAACACTGGAGTTTGAGGTAAACGAGGCGCAGAGGAAGCTGGGCGTAGAGTTGAGGGGCAGCATCCAGCCCGTGCTCGACATGACGGCAGACCTTCTCGATGGCATCAACTGCAAGTTCATGTTGAGAGGTCTCAACGGCATGTTCGACGGCCTATGTGGATACATCGTCTCAAACATGGTGGGCACACAAGCCCGTCGATGACATGACGCAGCACAACATAGACGCACCGACACGTCTGTCCGTCTGTCTTCCTCGGTGTCTGTGTCTGTGTGTGTCTTTATGTGTGTCGCGTATGTCAGCTGCGTGTGTGTATCTGCTGGATCGTGGCGGGCTGCTTCAGCTTCTGCCTCATGATCATGATGTACATGGTAGGTACCTACGCAGGCACCATCATGCCTCAAGGGATGCCCACATTGGGTGCTGCATGTCTGGTGTGTGTGTGTGTGTGTGTGTGTCTCAGGACTGGCGTTACAACCTCGACAACCGCATGGTCGACAAGGACAACAACAAAGTCATCTAACTGATAGACATCGAATCTGGCGGGGCAGATGGGAATGAATGGAATCCATACATATGTATTCATGGACGAACACACCCGCCAGTACGCTGCTATTTTTCCGTGGGAGGGAGAGAGACGGCCACCGTTTTCTTTTTCCGGCCGGTCTGTCTGCCTGCCTGCCTGTCGGCCTGCCTGTCTGAGTTTTGTGTCGTGGTGGTGGATGGGCCGATTCCACTACATGTTGTTTTTAGGATGGCTGGCTGGGTGGCGCATTGAGGGATGGACAGAGAGGTGCACACACTCCTTTCATTTAGGGTGCTTAAACGACTTTTTATATCAATTGACCCATCCATTCACGGCAGATCCCCTCTATGCTCACACACACACACACACACACACACCCAGCTGTACAAGACTCTACACCTCTACAAGCCCCTTCTTCCATTTACATGCAGACTAGGAGGCCCCCGGAGGCCCCCATCCCTTGAAGATATTGCCAATCGTTATCCTTATGGCTGCCCCTTCGTCACAGATCAAGCACGTACTACACATGAGCAAATGCATGCCCCAGATGTGCCCCGGATGTGACCGTCCACGTGATGGCTGTGTGCAGGATGGCATCTGGGAGGCAGTTCGGGCCGTCGACGTGCAGTCGGTGGCAGCACTAATCGACAGGGATGGCAAAGAGATACTCGACAGTCGACATGGGGAATACGGGGTGTGCAAATCGACGTGTGTGTGTCAACTTCAAGGCGCAGATTTTGAGGCTGTATGTCTGACTCAACCTGGCGTGTGTGAATTCTCACCTGCAGGTGACCCCCTTTCTGGAGGCTGCGCGTGACGGCCATGTTGAGATGATGTCGGTCATGATCGACCGATATGGGCCGGCAATTCTGCAGCAAACAGGCTCGGTAAGTACCAGCGGAACGAAACAGTCTATCTCTGCGTGCAGCTATGTGGTGATGCGGAACGAAATGCAGGACGGACGGACGGTGATGCACTGGGCCGCCGATTGGGGCCATGTCGATGTGCTGAAGGCTATTTATGTCAAAGGGGGACAAGAGATGCTCACACAGAGGAGCAAGGTGAGCGACACCCAGAATGAATATTCCTCACAGCTGGATTGTCTCTTGCTGCGCATTGAAAACACAGACTGGCGACACGCCACTGCACTATGCCACATCAAAGCGCCACTCCAAGACTGTGGCGCAGCTGTGAGAGACACAGACGAATACATTCATTCTCATGGTCACTCCTTCTTGGGCTCCTCTTCTGACTCAGGCTGGAGTTGGGCGGCTCATCGCTGCTTGACGTCAAAAACAACAGCGTAATCCCACACAGATGTGCACACTGTGCATCAATGGCTGAACGGCCTGGTACCACAAAATTAACAGGGATGGACGCCCATGGAGAAAGCGGCGAGGATGCCGCAAATCACAGCCATCATGGAGAGGTACAGGGGGACAGAAAATGCTGCTGCCGCGCCGGGGGTGGCGCATGTCGAGAAGCTGGACTGCGGTGACGGATACGCCTACACCGGACCGCTGCTCGACGGCAAGCGCGATGGGCCCTCAGGTACTCGCTCACCTTGAAGTAGCTGGGATACATACTCTTCCATACACACATACCTACCTACCTACCTATATGTTTTTTGTGGGCAAGGTAAGTTGGTGAAGGGCGACGAGCTGGTGTACAGAGGAGAATGGAAAGACGACCTCCCTGATGGGCAAGGACAACTCTCAATGAGTACACGCACAAGAACTCAACTCGAAATCATGCGACCTAAAACACTCCCCTGTCTTGTCTGTCTGTCCCTCTGTCTTTCAGGGGAGGGTTTCTACGAAGGCCAATTTCGGAATGGCCTACGCCACGGGAGGGGCAAGTTCATGTACAGCAGCGGTAGAGTCGGTGAAGGACCTGCCGGCAAGTTCAGAGGGTCACCTGCCGTCATAAGGAAGCTCGGTCGGCAGCGCTTCTATGACGGTGAGTGGGAGAATGATTTGCAGCACGGGGAGGGGACTTATCTGGACGAGTACGGAATGGAGGCAACATACCGGTACGCACGTACGTGTCAAGACACAGACAAACAGCCCCAAAGATTGAATGCAACAACATGTCCGTGTCTTTCTTCGGGTGTGTCTCTGCACGGACCGGTATGTGTGTGTTTGTTTGCTGTGTCTCTGCGTCTGTCCGTGCAGTGTGGATCAGGGCCTTTGGCACCCCGGACCAGCGTTCTGATGACTATTGCTGCGGCATTTATCCCTCCTGCAAGGTGCAATATATATTAGGCTGCGCATGGATGTGATTTGTGGCCTGGATGGATGACGGTGTTGGTTCAGTGTGGCATTTTCCCTCAAAGAATGCCCATTGACTTTCTGCCCCACCTTCTGCCCGCCACCCCTATCAAACGGTTGGTACAGCTGATCGATACGACACGTGTGCGCATGTCCGTGGAGCAGTGAGGTGTTCTTCTCCATGTCTTTCAGCATGGCTGATACTAAGCTTTGAGACCACTATTTGTGCTTGAATGATAAGTGGACGCGTGTATGAGGTGTCGCGGACTCATGAAGTGTCTCTTAACCCATCTGGGCACGCACACATGCAGTCAGGCATCGAGCTATACCTGCACATACATACTTACGTTCACGCCATCTACACACATTCGTCTGTCCGCCTGTCAACCGTCCCCCACCCCCCCCGCCACCGAATCCCTCACTCACTGCGTTACAGTACCATTCTCGCGCACAAACGCCGCCGTCTGAACACAAACAAAGACAGAGAAGCTGTACAAAACTCCCCCACCTCACAGGCCCCTTCTCTCGGAAGCCAAGGCATCATACAGCTTCGCCAGCCCCAAATCACGCATGCACGTCTGCACGCTCACAGCCGTTTCACCCACTACAAGTTGGTCATCTTTCGGCAGACACACCGGCGTCAGCTTATGCACCAGTACACGACGCAAATCACCAGATAATGGACAGCTGACCGAAAGGGGGGGGCCCAGCGACCGCACATCGCCATCAGCAACGAAGCGATCAGATGGCAAGTCGTAAAAGGACAGCCTCGCGGCGTGCAGGAAGATCCTCGTGGACCAGGTCTTGTCGTCAGCAGCAGACGATGCGAGCCTCCCCTTCCCACAGTACTTCCGATCGCCCACGAGAGGGAAGCCCTGTTCCGAGCAGTGCAGCCGTATCTGGTGTGTCCGGCCGGTCACAATGCGGACATAGAGGAGGGTCAGCGCCATGTCGTAACGCCGGAAATATGCGAGCGGCTGCCAGTAGGTGAGGGCGGGCGACCCTGCCGTGGTGTCGACAGTGCTGATCTTGTACTCGCGGCTGTTGTGGGTGAAGCGGGTGGCCTTGATGGGGCGGCTGCAGGTGTGGAGGCCCTCAGGGACGTGACCGTGCACCAGACAGACGTAGTACTGAGGAGAAGAAGGATGCAGGAGAAGGGCGGTGACGGGACAAACGTGTTGGGTTGCTTCGGTCGTTTTTGGTATTGCTCTCTTTCTCACCTTCTCGGGTATCCGTGCATCCCACTGCAGCCGAAGCCACGTATAGGCCACGTCAGACCGCGCAATGGGAAGCAACCTGGCCCATCCCATTCAGTCCCCCAAACACAGAGACAGACAGACACTTCTTTATTCACCCACGCTCATCCCCTCTCCCTTGCTGACCCACCCGCTTGTTTCCAGGTCCAGTCTGCTGCACAGCCCATAGGAGCGGAGGGGATCACGGTTGACCTCCGACTCAACTCCCCACAGCTGACGGATCAACTCGTGGTAGGGAGCAGGATGCACCGACCGCACCAGCCGCTCAAGTGACAGCTCCCTCCTTCTCCGGTTTCCCCCATTACATGTAGCGTCCTTCTCAGGATTGACGACCCAGTAGGATGGCTTGCTCATGACGATGATATGCCGTGACTCGAACAGCACTCGAGGGCACTCCTTGCCAACACCGATGCCGATCTCTCTCGGTGCGCCGTGCTGGGCGCTCAGCTTGGCAAGACGGCGGGAGCCCTCACTGGGCACAGACGAGTCGACGCGAGCAGAAGACGTTCTCCGTTGCAGTGAGAGTGCGATTCGGCCGACTGTCAAGAACAGAGGGAACGTCGATAGATGGCGGGTGCCCGACCCATAGCAATCATCGAAGCTAGTGGAATACCTGACACATCCCCCACGGATTGATCGCCCAAAAGTGGACACTGTTGGCATTGTCGTGTACCTGACGAGCTTCAGGAGGCCTTCAAGGTCTTCCACAGTCCGCACCTCCTCCATCTTCAGTGCAGACCGTACGATTCTCTCATTCAGCTCATCCCGCAGCGCACCAAACGCCACAGCAACACATCCTTCCCACTCGTCATCTGCAGCAGCAACATCGCGGTAGTTGCCGTCCTGCGGCAGAGCAGATGCATGGCCACTCAGTCGCCTGGCACGCGAAGATGCACAATAAGGCCAGATCTTGGTGATCCATCGGCGCATTCAGCAAGCCCGAGGTGAACTGCCTCGCCGTGGACGATCCCATCCCCAGATCTGCTCAGACAGGCTCGCACATTCCGTGATAACAAGGAAGGCGCCCAGGCAAGCTGAGCGCGGTGCACGACCCCCCCAGTGGATGGGCCGATTTGCGCGTTCGACGGAGAATGCGGATGTGTCCAAAAAACACGTCGATCACACTATCCATGCAATGAATTAAAGAACACATACAATTGCATGCATGTCCTTCTCCCTTTTGTAGAGCTGTGTGTGTGTCTGTCCGCGGATGTGTCATGATAGGTAGGAACACTAACAGGTACACAGGTAAGGACAAGACGCACAGCACAAATCATGAAGTGGGGGGAAAGGGCGGACCACGAGGGGGGCAGACAAACAGCGCAGATCAACAAACAAGTGATTTACCGCTAAATCGTCGAAAAATGACCGGTGAGAAGACTGTGCCTTCTTGATGTCGAGCCTATTGGCACGATAGCCCATTGGCCCACGCTCTTCAGGAGCTTGCCCAGAGTCGTGACGACACCAGCCCATCATTGGACGGTTTCCTGGTCGTGTCTTTGTCGTTTGTGTCGATGGCGGCTCCGAACTTTGCAGACACAGAAGAGAGAGGCGTTGTTGTGTGGGAGATGTGTGTGTGTGTGTGTGTGTGTGTGTGTGTGTGAGTGTCGTGTGTATACACATGGTACCTTACCTGATGTCGATTCGCGCTAACGACCCTGACCACTGAGGCCACGGCTTTTTCACCGTCGTTGGTGACGGCACACCTGATGCACGTAGAGATCTCATACAAGCGACATCAGCGACGCACACAGCCAGATGGTCGTCATGTGGAAGCTACGATGCCTCTCTGTTTGCCCTTGTTTACCTGGCTTTGCCATTCTTTGCCATCGGACAAGCGAGTGGGGCCGTTTACCATAAGCCTTCTTAACTTGGGAGTGCGCAGCCACTTGAGGGTGTTCTTATAGAGTGCGCAGCTCCTTGACGGTGTTCTTATCTCCTGGAAGTTACGACCGAAGTCGCCTGATTCTTATGTAATGGTAGGAGAGGAGGGGCAAGGCTGGATTTATTACCTGCAGCAGACAGGCACGCACAAAGCACCACACGCACGGGATGGATGAAAGCCTTCTTAAGGCCTGCCTACTGGCATTGTCTTTTGCTTAGACGTATGGTGGTCGTCCGGGCGACAAATCCTGTCTTCTCGACCAGGCAGAGATCGATCGCCTGACTGACCATCCAGGGAGACAAGGAGAGTGAGGGAGGGTGCTGTGTTTATGGATGTGTGTGTGTGTGTGCTCGCGTGTGACGGCACACCTGATGCAC